CGTTCAAAGTTTACAATTGTTCCTGTTTACTAAATACATCGAGGAACGGGGATGTTTGCCATTTTTAATATTTGTTCGAGAGATTTGCCAAAAGTATTTAAAACATTTTATTATTTAGAGATTCCTAAGGTATTTGCTTTTATACTACGATTTTTTGAAGCCCTAGTCCATTAAATGTGTTTTCTGATTCTCATTGAATGACTCTTCTTCAGAGCGAAGAAGACTCGACCCATGAACTGTTTACAGGCATTTAAAGTTTTATAATTTCTGTACATAGTCACAGTCTCTCAAAATTCCTCTCCTAGATCTCTCTTTTATTCTTAGAACAGATCACCATTTTCCTTCTGATTCTGACATCAACATTATTTTTTAATTTCTTAGTTGCACTCTTTTTTTTTTCTTTTTACCACCATGGTCTTTGAACCGTCTTTCAGATTGGTTCTCATTTTTCTTCTTATAGAGATACAGTGTCTCAACTTTCTTCCGACTCTTCTACATTGACTCTTCTTTAGACCTAGAAAGTTTTGATCCACAAGCTTCTTAGGCTGTTGAATTTTTATGATTTCTGTACACAGGCACAGTCGAATAGCTGTGGTTATATATTCAACTACAAATCCCTTTTCTAGATCTAATTCTCTTATTCGACTTCTTCTAGAACAGACCATTATTTTTCTTCTACGTCTGACATTGGCATTGTTCTTAGTTTGACACTGTTTTTTTTCTTTTTATTGCCATGGTCTCTGAGCCTTTTCTCAGCTTGGCTCCCATTTGTCTTCTTACAGATACAATATTATAGACGTTCTCCATAGAGTCTCAAATTACTTCTTCTAACTCTGACTCATCGACTCTTCTAAAAAGTTCTGACCAGCAAACTGCTTACAGGCTTTTGGTGCTTTATGATTTCTGTACTCCTATATGTAAATTCCTCTTCTAAACCTAACTTTTTTCTTACGGTGAGACCATCATTTTTCTTCTACGTCTGACATTGCGATTGTTTTCTGATTTCTCAGTTTCTCATTTTATTTTCTTTCTTTTGCCCTATCTCGTAACCTTTTTCAGTTTGGCTCCCATTTTCCTTCTTCTAGGTGCCGCATTACAGGTTTTCTCCATATTGTCTTAGATTTCTTCTGAGTCTGATTCATTGGCTCTTGGCTATACCTAAAAGGTCATGATCCACAAACTGTTTACAGATTTATGAAGATTTATGATTTTTGTCTATAACCATAGTCTCTCAAAATTCTTCTTCTAGATTTAACTCTTTTATCTCATCTTCTTTTAGGAGACAGCACCATATTTCTTCTAAGTCTTACATCGCCATAGTTTATTTAACTTTTTAGTTTAACTCTCATTTTTTTTCTATTTTCATATTACCATGATCTCTTTTTTTCTCAGTTTGAACCTCATTTTTCTTGTTCTAAGGAAAAATCACCATTTTTCTTCTGTCTGATATCGCCATTATTTCTTCATTTCTTCATTTTGACGCTCTTTTTTTCAACTTATTGCTATGGTCTATCTATTAACCTTTTCTCAGCTTGGCTTTCATTTTTCTTCTATTAGGTTATATTGCAGATTTTTTTCCATAAAGTTGTTTGACACTCAAAGATTCGATTAACATTCTTATACTCCCAAATTGTTGTTGTTCATTTTTCCAAATATATTTTACATACCCTTCTAGCAATTTTGAAGCACTTAAAGTTATAATTAATGCTTTTATTTCTTTCTTTCTTCTTCTTATTCATTGATTTCTCTGAGTTTTGGAAGCATTTGAAATATTCATTAAAACATTCTGGTCTGTCTGCACAGTAACAACGCTGACCCTCAAATATCCTCTTCTTCTAAATCTGTTTTACAGACCTCCACGCGTTTTTTGAAACTCTCATATGTTATAATTATTGTAGGTATTCATTTGTTTCTTCACCTTCTAAATTTAGATCGTGGACTTCTGTGAGCTTCTGAAGCATGTGTTCGTTTCCAATCTGATATACTTCCAGATACATAATTTGACTCAAAAAATGTATTTTTCTTCCTTTTTAAGTCTGCTTCGAACATTTTTCGAAGCACTGAAAACTAGAATTATTTGATTCAATTGCTTATTCTTCTTCTAAGCCTGGTTCACAGATCTCTGTCAACAGCATTCGAAGTTTTCATCTACAATGCGATACTTCCAGACACATAATCTGACTCCCAAACGTCTTCTTCTTTCTTCTTCAGTTTGTTAGAGATTTTGACGTATTAAAATTAAAATTTTCGAACACGTACCTATTGATTATAATTCATCTGCCAACATCCTAATATTTCACGATTCCATGTATTGTAACTTTACGCTTTTCACCTTTGGGATAATACTGAAAACATTGCTCTTGGGTCGAGCGCACGAATTACAAATAACGACGGAAGTTTTTCGGTTTGGAAAATAATTTGGAGTAACAGCGTCCTTGAGTGTGCCATTTAATTTAAAATACTGCTCTCGGGGGCGAAAGAGAAATTCGGCAGGGAAGTAAATGAACGCATTGTTCGACGAACAGACTTTTTCCGCCGATATTACGCAACGTAAATCAAATGGCCACGAGAAAATATGTATTTTTTCTGGCGAAGAAAGGACGCACTTACCTATAATTGTTTGGGTTGGTACCTCGCAGCGCAGCGCAGTAATGTAAGGGTGTGTTTAGCATGTATTTCAGAAAGTAACAATTGTACCTCGGAAAGCGTAATTTGTATTTCGGATTAGTAACGCGTTAACTTTTTAAATCAGAGAATGAATATTGCATTTCAAATTAGTATCAAAAAATATATATCAAATGTATAAAATTTCAGAATTGGTCAAATGCATTCCAAAAAAAATGCAATTGAATTTATACATCCATCACAAAATCACGTAATTCAAATGTTTGTACTGGTCAGTGATGTTCTGCTCTGGTTAAACAAGTGAGTCAACGTTCGATCCCCCTTTATGGTGGGTCCGCCAATTCCGGGGGACTGTTCTTCGGTGTGGATTCTGATATCTGGCCCTTCCGAATTTGAGTAATTTATGGTTGTCACCTGTACCTGTTGCGGAATCTGGTTTTCACCCTAGCTCAAATTTCGTGGCATTGCTGTTTTCGCGGAAAAATTCAATACTAAGATGAAATTTTAGGCGATCGTTCTGCCAACATGATCGGGCAGATGTCATTTGCTGCGGTTTGAATAGTTTCGACTGTTGGATTCGAAACATGGGAGATAATTTTGATTCAAAACATAAGTGAAAAAAACCCCTGTTTCAAAAATCGGGCCTAACTCGAATTTTATGTGTTTAAAATTAAGTAAAAAGCAGAATAAAAGCCTAAATTTGTGTATTTGTAGAGGTCAAGCGTCATATTGTTTATAACAAGGATGGGCTTTTGCGAAAGCTCGCAAAAATTTTTTTACATTGCAAAGTTAGAGGTGAAGACAAGATTTGCAAAATTTTCAGCATTAAATAAAAAGAACGAATTTGACTGAAATCGGATGAAACTACAGGAAAAGATAACTGTTGAGGTGCTCAACAAATACCCGCAGTTCGGACCTACAATTTTAAAATGGAGGCCTACTGTAAAATTATAAAGTCGAAAATGCGAGCGCGTATACAGGGTGTCTCACAGTAGTGTACACAGTTATTTATTATTATTTATTCACAGATGTTGCAATGGGATTCTAAGCAGAACATTTACAGTTTTTAATGAGACATATCCCAATTTTCCACCAATGAGCAGAATAAAGTTAAGATGAATTCTAAAAATCAACTTCATACATAGTAATACACAATTTTAATTATGTATATATAAAAAATAACTTCAATATGACTCCCATTAACAAGTCCACCTAAAATGACACGCAGAATTCAAAATTGTAATAATATATAGGGTGATCCATTTAAAAATCCAAAAAAAAAGTTAACTTTAAGTCCTTATGTCGGTGGTTTTTTAATATACCTACATATTTCAAACCAATTACATCAAAAAGTGCTTAAAAAACATGAATTTTAAAAAAATGCGTCTCGATCCGACCAATATGAGCCGAGGTAATGTTTTTTTTCTTAAAAACGGTATTCTGGCTATTCTATTTAATATTTTGTAATAAGCTTGGGCTCCTTGTAAAGTAGAAGACTTCCTTTATACGCTAATTTTTTTTTGAATGGATTCGACCAAGAAATTACCAAGTAAACGTGCGTTAAAGACAGTGATCCGCGCGGCTGAGCGGTAGCCAGAAGAGGGGAGCGATGTGACGTCATAGTGCCCATGCTGCGCTAGGCTTCTCAAAATTCTTACTTAACAAATGGATTGTGGCACTTAGAAAGCACCTACCGGGATGCTTGTTTTTAAATCAACTTATTTTTTTCCGCTCTTTCGAATGGTGTAAGCAAAAGTTTGTGAAAGTCATCGTCAGACCCCCGAAAAATACATTTTTATTGACTTTTCACGTTTTCTTTTGCAATTTCTTTATGCCTTCGATATTTTGAAAAGTAAGAAGGTCTTTTTACGTATTTAAAAGCAAACGTCAATTGTTTCTTTGAAAAAAATAATGGGTATTTGTATTAATGCGCTCAGAAATGGTCGTCGTATAAAATATTGTCTTAAAATTAACTGTTATTGCGTAAATTGTGTCTTGAATATTATTGAATGTTACAATATTAACATTACATGTAAGTTCTGCACTTTATAGTATTTAAAAGAACTGTTACATTTAATTCTACCATATTTTATTCAATGAAAAAGCCTATCCTTGCAGCAAATTTCCTCAGGATTTTTGAAAAAAAAAACCTAATTCTCCCGGACTATACAGGGAAGGTCGACTAAATATTCTAAAACATTGGTAACTACTTATTACCAGTTAGTTAGTAGTTTTTCGTGCGTTAACGTTCTGAAATTTACTACGATGAAATTGAATTGACGCTTTCTGATCATCAACAATTAACGTTTTCTGAAATATATCTGGGAAAGGTGTAGACGAAAAAATTCCTGAAGAATCAAATCAGAGGTACTCACCTGCATGAGGTTGAAACACATGGCGATCAAGGCCATTCCAAGCATGAGGTAAATCGAGCAAAAGACGAAGCTCAGCTCCAGAACGTCTTTGTAGAAGCTAACGCCCCTGCCGTATATCTTGTCGCCCGGTACCAGATCGCCGAAGCCTATGGTGCTGAGGGATATGAAGCAGAAGTAGGAGGCGTCCAAGAACGACCAGTACTCCTCCCACTCACAAAACAGAAGAGCGCCGCCACAGATGTACCTGCGATTTTTATTTTGTTGCAATTTCCAGAAGAGAAGCCTTATTTTCGTTACTTACCCCACCATGATGAGTAGGCATATCGTGAGGGGTACTGTCACGCTTTGGACGTCGTACTCTTCGTCCTCAGTGTAACTGGTGGCGCCCTCGCTGCCTATGGAGGCCCTGGGCTGAAGCTGTGGCACTGGAATGCTGACCTGAAGCAAACAGTCAAAGGTGACCATTGTTATTATGTCACTCCCTTTGAAAGCGTATATCAATTATTCAAGAAACAGTACTGTATACAGGGTGTCCGGAAGAGAATGTTACGTACTTCAGAAGCGGGTTTTGGAGAACAAACGCGAAGGACTCTTGTCCAGATAAAAAAAGTCACCAGAAAATGTTATTGAAGCACACTGTAAAAAGATCGGTGTGAGTGAAAGTAATAAAGGTTCGGGGTGAATCCATTGAGCGAGTACATTTTCTCTCAATATTGGGCATTTTGATCATTTTACTCATTTGTGATTATATTTAAACTAAAACTGAGTACTTTCACTGAAATATAGGTACTCCTTAAATAAATCCTTCACGTAAACTCCTATTTGGTGCACTTGTACCTAAATCAGAGTAAATGTCCTTATTACTGAGTGAGTTTAACTGTATATTAAATTCGAGTAATTTGAATGGCGCCATGAAGATGGCACCATTTATGCAGTACGCTCCTAAAGTATGGAATAAATTCAGTAAAAACGAAACATTTTTTTTTTGTGAAAAATCCTGGAACAGGACATTTTAGCATATAAGGCGATTTTCATTTGTTTTCGAGTAACGACATTTTTACATTTTTTTTTAAATAACGACCCCGATTTTTTTTCTTGATTCTGAAAGATCGTTTCATTGTCGATCCGACAGTATTAAAATGTTGCTATCTTACATAGGAAAGTTTTCGAGTAAATGACGATTGAATGGTAGAAAACCCAATTCAATTAAAATAAAGCAAAAACGTTATCAAATTTAGTTTTTCGAAATGCCTGACGTTTTTTATGGATCACGTAGGTGTAAATCTTTACAAAGTGTCACTGTCATACCGACTTTCTAAGTATTGTAAGCGATATAAAAATTATTGTTGGATTTAAAGTATTATGGCACATTTAACTGTCACAAAGAATTGAAATTTTAATTCTTATCGGATGCGGGGATAAGACTAGAACGCAGCAGGAAGTTTGCGATTTATTTAATGAAAAACATCCAGAACGCCATATCAGCCAATCAACAGTCAGTAAGATAGAATCTAAATTTAGAGAAACTGGCAACGTTGTAGATATTCCAAAACCTGGACGTCCAGGCGTTAGTGAAGATCAACAAACAGAACATTTTGATAAGTATGGTAGATAGTCCTCATAATACTTCACGATTGGTTACATTAAATAATGAAATTAGTCAGACCACAGTGCTACCTACGTATCCTGAGGCAGGAAAAATATCATCCCTACAAAATTCAACTTGTGCAGGAACTCAATGAAGACGATCCCGACCGCCGCTTACACTTTTGTGAATTTATGATGGATTTCAAGTCAGGTAAATGGATATTTACATCGGCAAATACTTTTTTCAGACGAGGCCACGTTTTGTCTCAATGGTACAGTGAACCGTCAAACTTGCAGATATTGGAGTAAAATCCTCATTGGATGGCAGAGACACATACCCAACACCCACAGAAATTAAATGTGTGAATTGGAATAGTGGACAACAGAATAGTAGGGCCTTTCTTCTTTGAAGGAACCCTTACAGGAGAAAGATATTTAGTTTTTACAAAATGACTTTGTTCCAGCGCTTGCAGTAATTTTCCTTAACGATAATGACCCTGATATTCCTCATGACACCATACGGTTTCAGCAAGACGGTGCACCTCCGCATTATGCGCGCCCTGTTCGAGATTTTCTGGACAATTGTTTTCCTAGGAGGTGGATCGGCAAACGAGGACCGATGGAATCGCCCGCGAGATCCACAGATCATACACCCCTGGACTATTTCTTATGGGGCTACTTAAAGTCCAAAATTTAGAAGAACTCCAAAATTGTATTATAGATGAAATACACAGGGTTAGCCCAGAAATAATTCATAATATGCCAGAAGAATTTCTACACAGACTTGCGTATTGTCAAGAAGTCGGTGGGTGGCAATTCGAACACTTAATTTAGGTAGAAAACTTAATGAATAAAATTTACGTTTTCTAACATTCAATCGTCATTTACTCGAAAACTTTCCCATGTAAGATGGCAACATTTTAATACTATCGGATCGACAATAAAAGGATCTTTCAGAATCAAGAAAAAAAATAGGGGGCTGCTATTTAAGAAAAATGTCGATGACGTCGTTACTCCAGAACAAATGATGGTTGAGCTAAAATATGTATTTTTTAAATTAAAAATCGACCTGTTCGACGATTTTTCCCAGAAAAAAATTGTTTCGTTTTTACTTATTTTATTCCATACTTTAGGCGCGTACTGTATATTGCTTCTATAATCTCGACCTCAGTTGATAGGGGCCCGTTAGATGCTCCAGAAAAGCGTGATCGCCAGGAGAACAGGCCTTAGCCTGCGGCGACGGGTCTCAACTGGCGGATCTCAGCTGGCGGATCTCAGCCAGGACAGGAGGAGGACCCGCGAAGTAAATTAATTTCAACACTGTATACCCTAATTAATCATTTATGAGTGAAATTTTTTTACAGTGCAGAGTTAAATTTTTAATTGTTTTTTTTTAAATAACACCATTATTGTTTGACCGATTATAACGAAATTGGATGTTTTGTTATAATTTTTACAGTAGAATCCGCCAATAAAGTATGTAACATTATTTTCCGGACACCTTGTATATACAGAGCGTTGCATTTGCAAAAAATAAAATTATTTCATTTTTTGATGTTGTCACCCTCAATTTTTTTCCCTTTTAATGCATTTTGAAATGTTATTTGAAAGTTTTATGAGCGGCTTTTGAAGCACCTTAAACGCATTTATGAATATTTTACTGCTGACACCCTTTATACAGTGGCGTCAGAACCCCCAACATCCCGTACGTATCACCCGACGCGCTTCTAGGACCGTCCCCATCCATATATTCAATCAGTTACGTCACCATTTTTGAGCATACATTTCAGCGACAGATGATGTTGACGTACCATCTGCAAACATACTCGCTCGAACAGCGTAGCGCTCTAGATCCATCGTAATATCGCAGATTCCCTCAGCAATGGAACACAGTTGGCTGTTTAAAAGTCCCTTTTTTTCGTTACGGAAAGCACACACGCTCCCTGACATCGTTTAATTAACTTCAGTGAGCTAATTTGAAGCGTACTGTGATTAAGATAATTGAAGGAATGCAACACAAAATTTTTCAAGACGAGATCTTTGTTCGAAAACAAATATTTTTCCTACTCACACAGGATGTTCTATAAGCTCTATGACAAGCTTTGACAGATGGTAGCTGGGTTAATTTGAAACATTTTTTCTTACATAAATATAGGCCCGATTCGTTTTTGTTTAGAAGTTATATAAGCCTTTTAAAAAATATAATTTCATATTTCAATCAAAGTAGCCTGATAAATAAAAATGATGGTTGCTATAACAATAATTGCATGCACGCATGACACCTTCGAATCTAATTTACGCGCTCTCCCTGGAAAATTATCAGGTAAGGTACACAGTACAAGAACAGGAAATAGTGGTACGCAAAAAACACTCCGACACGGTCAAATTCCAGATACCAACTGAATTGCGTATTGCTGGTTGATGGACTGCGTAGTAGTACCTCGTGATGATCGCCGCGTCATTGACACAGTGCTTTATATGAATTTTATCGAATTTTAAATTTATTACAACGCTAATTATTATTTTTTAGAATTAAGCATAAAGAAGAAAAACTTGTATGTCTGTGCCTGGTGGGTAAACTGACAAACGATTCTAGCTGTTGCACTAAGTGTTGCGAGTATAATTCAATGCCGGTAGGGGCAAATAGCTCTCGGAGTAGTTGTTTCCCGCAGCACTGACAAGTCAAACATTTTGTACATCAAGTTGGGAATTTTGATCATTATTTTCTCGGAAATGGTTGAGTTTAGGACCCATATCATATAAGGTTTTTTTGTTTATTTTAATGTATTCTATCGTGTGTTAAAATTAAGGTAGATTATTCGCGGTATCATTAATGAAAAGACTAAAAAACAACAGGTCAAGTATCGAACCCTGAGGCACGCTTGATGTTAAATATGTCATATTTGTAAACATGGTATTGTACAAAATCAACGATTGAAGATATGATTTCAACAAGTATAAAAGGAATTAACAGATGCCAAAATCCTCAAGGTTAGATAAAAATACACCGCCATGTAGTTTTCGAATGCGTTAGAGAAATATTTGTATATCACATTCACCTGAGTTCTTTGATCCAATGTTTCAGCAATAAATACCTATCACATACTAGATTGGATACAGTAGATTTATCAGGCATAAAACCTTGATGCTCAGGAATAACTAAACTTTTGTTTTCTAAGATTGTCTCAGGCGAAGGAACTGTCAATGGAATCCAGAAACAAAATTAGAGATCGCGCAGTGGGTCCGTAAGGGTTGTCAACCTCTAGAAACACCAGTTTTGGCTCCATCTGACTTATTATTCAGAAATTTCAAAAAGCGCCTCAGGTGACATCATTTTGTAGAGATAACCAATTGAAAGGAGACAAAAATTTCATGAACCAGAGGGTAGACCTCACTATTCTTAGATTTTTGGGGTAGGTCCGAATATGGTCATAAAAAATGATTTCAATTGCCCGTTTTACCGCTAGCTTAACACCCCCTGAAAGGGTTAAATTTTAAATTTTCGTACAAAATTAAGATGTATGCGTATTTCTATATTTTTCGGGACGCTGAAACCGAAAATGACTACAAAAAAATTATTTAGCCCCTCTCTTACCCGCTAGCACCCCCTTACCACCCCCTGAAGGGGGTTGAATTTTAAACTTTTGCACAAAATTAAGATGTTTATTTATTTATTTATTTATTTATTTATTTATTTAATTTTGGCTTGGGACGCTAAAACCGAATTATGATTTCTGTCCTAATCATAACCGTGTTTATTTTGCCTTTTGACACTTGACACCTTATTCTAGACAAGATATTTTAAGCAAGAGAGTTCGGTATCATAGAAAAAGGTAATGCCGATTCGTGAG